TGGGCTCACCACAGCGTCACTGCTGGATCAAAACAAAGTGCATTCTCTGCTAACAAATGCTGCAGACCTGGAAAACCAGAACTTGGCAGTTCGCTTCCTGTTGCAGACAGTGAGAGAAGATGACTGGAGAGAAAGGCCTGTGTCGGGAGTGATAACCAACAACGCTGCTTCTCCAGGACGTTAGCCGGAAACACTCAGGAGAGAGCTCACGCTCATCTCTCGCATTTACGCCGTCCTTGAGACACAAGGCCTTGGGTGGAAAGTGTCAGGGTGTCAGTTCCACTGGGAAAAAACATTTTAAAAGATGTGCTCTGAGAAAATGCCAGGCAACAAACCCTTCCCAACGCTAGGTGAGGACAGATGTCAGGGAACACCAGCAGCATGGAAGTGGAGAGCTCTGGCTGGCTCCCAGGACTCTAGAAAAATCAAGTCGGGTTAAGACTGAATCTGAAAAATTGGACCTCCTCTGCCCGGGGCAGCTGTTAGGGTTCAGGAGCCCCTGGAGTGCGGCCCTGAAGTAATGACAATAATAAGCAGTGGAAAATACAACCCTGCAGAAGACTGGGAAGGGAAGACCGGAGTAATGGGAGCCTGGACACCCAGCAGTGTGGCAGTTAAAACGCCTCACAGGGTCGTCATTTGCTGGGAGAATAAAAACCCCTGAACTAGGTCAGATTCACAAGTCACGTGCTATTGCCCACAACAACTGCAAGGGGCAGGACCTGGGAGGGCAAGGATACTCTGTCCGGCCTCAGACGCAAAGCAGAAGAGAGTCCTTGCTTCCCTCGCTGCCACTCCCTGTTCTGTCCGTCATCAGCTGCCGGGACCCTTCTTAAATCACATTTCTGTATCCTGCCAGGACCACCTCTCGAGATAATGCGTCTTCGACGATTATTACCTGCTGTGTTAAGCAGTACTTTCTTTCATTGGTTACAATAAGAAAAAGAAGAATTAGGGGCGAAGCAGCAGAGAGGCTAATGTCGCCTTCATCAAGGGACAATATCATGTTGTGGGAGCGGAAGTGTTCAACAGCCAGGAATCATAAGGCATTGAAGTGGTGACCATGAACTTGGGAAGCCTGATGACAGCCAGGGTTCTGGGCTGATGAGAGTCATCCCGCATGTGTTTGTGAGAAACAGAATTGGACAAAAGCATAATTCATGTTAGAAAACAGCTCAAATCACTTGGAGTACAGCAATGTTCTGATTCACAAGGCCTGAGCTGATTGCAAACACACAGAGAAAAAAGAGAAAAACCTCCAGCAGACGCTGGATGAAGACCGTACCTCTCCGCATGGTCAGGACCCCCAGGCACTACCAAACCTCGAACAGAATGAGGATGCCGGCAGCAGCTGAGCTACCTAAACTGACTAGTAACATCCAAACACCGTCCTGTGCACGGGCCGTAACAGAAGAGGGACCCTCCTTGGAAAAACTGGTGAAATCTGTGAAAAGTCTCAAGCTTAAGTAATAGTATGATAAGAAGAATTTAGTCTGGGTTCTGACAAGTGAGCCGCTGTTCTGGAAGAGCTCTCTGCATCAGGGGCAAGGAGGTGAAAGGGCCGGAGACACTGTGCCAACTCTGCAACTTTTCTGAAAGTCCGAGAGCACAAAACACAGGTTGATCGAGACGAAAAGGATTTCTTTATTTAAGCAAACTTATTTTGTGAGTTTTTTGATCCATTTACTACACTGGGAGCTGGCAGTAAATAAAAGTATTAAGGTTTATATTGTTTTGTAGTGTCTGTGCACACATGTGCCAGCGCCAGTGACCACGGACACCAGCGAGAGCATGGGCTCTCCTGGGGCTGACATACATACATAATTAAAAAGAAAATAAAACCGTTTTTGAAAAGTACTGGAGGGAAACCGTGGCTATGCTGAGCACACCTTACTGCTGCTTCTGGTCACTGATGCCCTGAACAACACAGCACAGGAACTATTCGGGGCATTTCCTGTCAGGTGTTAGAGGTCATCCAAGTATAACTTGAGACACAAGAGGGTGCTAATCCAGTATATGCAAATGACGCGTCAACTTATATAAAGATGAGATTGGGCAGTCTCAGATTTGGGTATCCAAGAGGGAGGGGGACTGTCCCTGGAGTCACCGCCTACCCCACCCCACCCCCGCAGCAGAGAGGGCAAACTCTCATAGCAAAAACAACCTTAAGCCCCACCAAAACACAAAATAAAGTTACTCAGATAATTAAGCGCCATTCACCAACTCACCTAAGTGGAAATGCGTTGTTGGGCATAATTAGCAAGCTCATGCATAAAACATTAACTGCTTGTTCAAGAAGATGAGATAAAAAGGCAAGACAAGAAAAGATTAAGTGCTTGAATAGCATCTAAAGGATACTCTATCAAATCTTTCTAAAACTATTCATGGAAAGAATGAAAATATATTACTGATTAAAAAGTCTCACCTTTGGAAATTTGGTGGGAATTGACTGGATACCAGAAAAACAAACAGGTGTGACTACCAGAATGCTATGGTTTGGGCTGTAAATGCCCCTCTTTAAAGGCCATGTGTTGAAAGCTTGGTCATTACACTGTGGCACTCTGGGGAGGTGGTGGCACCTTTGTAGGTAGGGCCTCGTGGGTAGAAGTGAGGTCACATGACCCTGAAGGGGGTATACAGACACAGGTCCTTCCTTAGCTCCTCTTCTTCATTCCCACCCACCTTGACGTGACACCTCCCACCACAGGCTCAAAGCAGCAGAGCAAGAGACCATGGCCTGAAACCTCTGAAGACCATAAACTCTTTCCCACTTTCTTTTTTTTTTTTTTAAATATTTATGTATTTATTATGTATACAATACTCCCTCTACATGCATGCCTGCAGGCCAGAAGAGGGCACCAGACCTCACCACAGATGGTTGTGAGCCACCATGTGGCCGCCGGAAACCGAACTCAGGACCTCTGGAAGAGCAGGCAATGCTCTTAACTGCTGAGCCATCCCTCCAGCCCTCTTTCCCACTTTCTCAGCTTTCATCATGACAACCGAAGGCTAACACCCGAAAACCTGTCAGGAAGGATTTACAGAGATACGGTGGATCACCAGGTGTGGTGGTGCATGCTGGGATCCAAGACGGCCATGGCTACACAGAGAAATCCTGTCTCGAAAAACTAAAAAAAAAAAAAATTAGAAGCCAGGCAGTGGCGGCTCAGGCTCACATCTTTAATCCCAGCACTTGGGGAGCCAGAGGCAGGCGGATCTCTGTGAGTTCAAGGCCAGTCTGATCTACAGAGCTAGTTCCAGGACCGGCTCCAAAGCCACACAGAGAAACCTGTCTTGAAAAACTAAAATTAGAAGAAAAAAAGCATTCTAGGCCTGGCAGTGGTGGCACATGCCTTTAGTTTTAGTTCCAGCACTTGTGAGGCAGAGGCAGGTGGATCTTTGTGAGTTCAAGGCCAGCCCGGTCTACAGAGTGAGTTTCAGGACAGCCAGGGTTGCACAGAAGAACCCTGTCTCAAAGAAATACAGTCTCCAAAAATACCTCAGCAGGCAGTTAGAGAAACAATCACCATGGCTTTTGATTCACAAGCTGGATCCCAACAGTGATAGTTCTGTCAACTTAACAGAATCTAGACTCACTTGAGAGAAGGGACCCTCGGCACACCTGTGGGAGTTTCCTAGTTAGTGTTAACCGGAGTGTCAAGACCTGCCGACCATGGGCAGCACTACTCCCTGGGTGGGAGCCTGAGCCATATGGGTGCAGGGAGGAATGTGAAATGACCACGACCCGCTGCTTCAAGTTCTTGTCCTCTGATTTTGCCACCAAGCTGGTCTGCACCCTTGAACGGTGAGCAGAATAAACCCTTTCTCCTTGAAGTTGAGTATTTTATCACAGCAATGGAAAAAAGTCGACATGCCGACCACTCCTCCACCTCAGAGTAAAGGCGCACACATCCCTCTTTCTCCACCTCAGAGTAAGGGCGCACACATCCCTCTTTCTCCACCTCAGAGTAAGGGCACACACAACCCTACTCCTCCACCCCAGAGTAAGGGCGCACACATCCCTGTTCCTACACTAGAACAGACTGCTCTGAGCTTAGAATGTTAACATCTAGACTGCACGAGATACCACGAGGTTGGGGCCCATGTCCAAGAGTAGATCTCATATATGGCCTACACACATAGCCAGAGGTAATTTTACATATTTAATGCAAACCCTCATGAAGGTGCACATGGAATTTCCATTTGGGATACCATATTGGTGCTCAAAAAGTTTCAGATTTTGGAGTATTTTGGTTTTTGGTTTTGTTGGTTTTGGTCTTTTTTCTTTGTTTTTGTTTTTGATTAGGGATGTTCAACCTGTAATCAGCACAGCTCCAATTAGAAGCTCAGACTCGATACCTAAAAACAGCTCCCAATTCCCCACCTCCCATCAGCACCAAAATAAACACAGCCAATGCTGCCACTCTAATCTATGCTATCCCTGGGCCAGGTCATGTGGTCACCTTCAATCAATGACACACACAGATAAATAAACAAACATGCTTCTTGGTGCTATTGATAATAAATTGGATCCTTGCTCTTAATGAATTGATTCGGTGTATACTCTGATTATACAGTGAGGTGTGGCTGAGTCCCTGGATGTATGCAGTACAGATTTTACACGCTTGTGAGCACAGAGGGAAGCCAGCTGTTTATGGTTCCATACCAGGCTTGGCCCTATACAGAGTCCCAGCTGCACGAACTCTGCGTCTGTTTCCTATTCTGAGGATGTCAGTTTTCTCTGGGAAGAAATTGTCAAACCAAGGGACAACCTTTGAATGCCACCATTTGCACCTCTAACTAGAAATTTTCTGAAGGCCACGGAGAGACAGAGCTTGGTAAGCGACCACTTCCATGCAGACTGACGATTACTGCTCAAAGACAGTTGCGCCAATAGCTCTTTCTATGGCTGTAAATAATTCGAGCCTTTCCATCAATTTCAGACTCCTTGCAATACTTCTCTATCCCAAACCCAAGCTGAAGGAGCATGCTCTACTTACAGTTACGAATGTTATTCCAGTCAGTGCTGGCAAAGAAGGGGTGGCAGCAGAGACCCTCAAACGTCAGTCTCTCCTTCTGGCCACACAGCAAACTCTGAATCAGATCCAGGAACTCACTGCTAACTTTTGGGTCTTCTGGAAACTTCAAAAACCGCTGTTCAAAAAAAAAAAGAATTATTTCCTTAGCAGTGATTCAGTTTATGTCCTGAAGCAAAGAGAAAATTTCTCATACATAAGTTCTTTTCATTCTCTTTTAAAATAAAGTTTTGTGCCCTCATAACTTTAGACCAAAGGCATGTTCCTGAAATAAGTGGCCTACACACATCAATAGGCCTAGTTCTTTTGTTGGGGTTCAATGTCCTTCGTGGCTTGACCTGTAGCTTCCCTCTCTCGTCCAGTCTCACAGACACCCATCTCTCTCTCTGCTGTCCAACAGTGACGAGCTATTTCAGGCTTCCTGTACCATCTCATGCTGTTCTCTCGGCCTAGAGCTCCCTCCGCCAGCACCGCCCCCAGCTCTCCCCGGCTACTCTCCTTCTGCACGCTCCCTCTAGACTCCACCCTTTCTTGCTCACTTTTGGTTTTTTGAAACAGGGTTATCATTAAGTCCAGACGGGCATCAAGGATCTACCTGCCTCCACCCAGCCAGCATGTGGTCTGCTTTGGTTTCTGAGGGACGATGGGGAGAGAAGGTGAATATGGTGCCCTGCTCATCACTGCTGACCTGGTACCCCACAGTACTGAGTACAATTCTGTCAAAGCCTGCATTACTGAGCAAGCAAACCAAAATGAATGATGGAAATGAGCTCAAAGAGTTATCTAGAGGGAAATTTCAACTCAAGAGAAGCCTCAGTAACAGCATTCGTACATTAAAAAAAGTATATGTATCAACCATTCCAGGAAAATGAAAATTGAATGAGAAACGAAATCCAAAGGAATGAGGCCTCTTTTCTCCTTGAAGCTGAAACTGAAAAATGGGTTCATCATGTCCTTTAGAAATGGGCTTAATGGAATCTAAGTATACGTATTAGGACGTGGTTTTAATTCTACATTATACACGTGTGTGTGTATACACACAAGTGCGTTGCTTCAATTCTAATTTATCCGCTTCCTTCTTCCCCACTTGAGAATCATGAGCTACCGAGCCGAACAGCCGGTGTTGTGCTCAGCCTGTCCTGTTTGGTTTCTTCGTCAGTGTGTGAGGTGGTAATGCCTACCTTCCGGGGTTGTTTGAAAAAGAAGGGCACTAAAAAGCTCGCTCATTGAGCCACACTCAGGCGCATTGAACAACAGTGAACTCAAGATGTATTTCAAGACCAATAAAAAGATGGAATTAAAACGGCAGCCATCTTCCGTTTTTAGTGCTACCGAAAATGCTGAGGTGCCCTTACGATGATTGACAGCTGCGATTCCAGAAGCTGCTGTGAAGAGCGAGCCCAGTGGACGGTTCAGCACAAAATCAGAGCTGTGCTGTCTACACGTGATTCTAACGAGCCTTCACCTGAAAGTTCATGATGTTGCTGAAGGTGCGGGCAGAGGTTCCCTCTGTGAATGGGGTTCTCCCGTAAACCATCTCATAGGCGACCACTCCCACCGACCACCAGTCACATTCCAGGCCGTAGGTGCCTCTCCGGTCCTCATTCATCACGGTCAGTACTTCGGGAGCCATGTAGTCTGGGGTCCCAATGGGGAGTTTGGCATTCACCTAGAAACCCGGAAATGAAGAGAACACAGCACTCTCAATTGCCCGCCAGTAGGTGCCAACACCTGCGTTAGACGCCAGCCGATTTGCCCGATTGCTATCCACTCAGGCACTTGAAACCTTCTGTCAAGAGACATGCTATCAGGAAATGCCAATGCTTTACTTTTAAAAAGGGCCGGGATGGGCATAATACATCTGAGTGAAGAAGGGTTTCTTGGTACAAGTTACTCAACAACAGAACTTCGTGTCAGTGCTCAGGGACTGAACCCAGAACCTGATAAAAGATAAATAAGCCCTGCGTTCCCACCCAAGCTCCATTCCCAACTCAACAGAACTTCTTTTACTCAAAAACAAATATATATATATATATATATATATATATATATATATATATATATATACACACACACAAATGGCAAAGTTGGGCTGGGGAGAAGACTCAGTCGGTGAAGTCCCTGCTGAGCAAGCATGAAGACCCCAGTTAAAATCCCCAAACCCACATAAACAACTATAAACCCAGCACTGGAAAGGCTCATCTGGGGGACCCTAAGGGCTTGCCGCTAGCCAGGTTGATGAGCCCCAGGTTCAGTGAGAGACCCTGCTTCAAACTACAAAGTGGAGGGAAGTGAGGGAGACCCATGCACACATCTAGGCAAGCACACTCACATACATGACACATGCAGAGAGAAAGGAAGAACAATCTAAACATAGATCTATGATATAAGATCAATCTGTTAATGAGAAACTGGAGGCTACATGGCCATACAGGAACAGCATGAAGCCAGCTACATCTCAAGTCTGCAAACAATGGAAAATGGCAGTAAGATCTATCTCCTCCATCAGCCCACCTGCAGGGCAGTGTGAGGAGCAGGTCCCAAACAGGCTGCATGTTAATGGGTTCACCTTTCTCATTTGCTCCTACAGCCCCCTCACCGCTCGGAAACCAGGTCCCTCCAGTCCACCAGCGCCAGCCCGCCCGAGCACTGCCCTTGGCAAAGGCAGAGCAGGACACCGCAGGAAGCCTTCTGACAGAGCCAAACACATTCCGTTCCAGGGACTGGCCTAAGGATTCCTGTTTTAGGGTTTAATGCCTTTGTTTCTTGGAATGATGCTGATCAAAGAACTGGACTTCCTGACCCTTACTAGGGGGCTCAGCAAGTCAGCAACCCATTTGATCTTCAAAACTGGTTTTCAAGTTTTCCTGAGCACGAAAAGTGAATGTGTGAAGACTCGTGTCTATGCTCCTGCCCAGCAAAGCAGAGAGGCCTGACTTCAGACAGCAGTGCTGACCGGTGCCCTGTCACCCACAGCATCTACGGCCTTCTCGTGGTCAGCGGTTAGATGGTGCAGGAAAAAAAAAAAAAAAACCCTCATTGTTAAAGGATTAAAAAGTGCCCCCAACAAAACCCAAAAACCTGGAAGACATGGACACACCCCCTTTAGGCTGGACTTTTTATCAAGGAAGCAGATTTAGGCTGGGCGTGGTGGTATAAGGGATCCATTCTCCACTGAAGAGGAGGACGAGGAGGCAAGCAGGAGGAGAGGGATGGCAAGTTCGCTTTGATTTGGGAGGAAGGGGCCGCTTAGAGGCGGGCACGACAAGACCGCCCTCCACAGTGATGGGGTCGGATGAAGCCCTTTCAGCTATGACTTCAAGCTTGTCCATCCTCCTACCCAAGAAATAAGATTTTCCAGTAATTCTCCCATTCCCTCGTTTTTATTCTTTACTTAAGTATGTACAAGTGTATATATAGAACATATAAGATATTCCTATATTGATCCCATTCCTCTTTCCCCCATGTATATATAAAAAATATCAGAATATTCCTATAGCTTTCATGTTCTTTCTCTCATGATTTACAGACACACATACACACGTGTACATACAGTACAGAAATACTGAAACCATCCCTGTAAACCCCCACTTCCTCTCGGCAGGCCCAGAACCCAGAACAGCATGGTGCTGGCACTCCTGACACTGAGAATACTCAGAAGTCATGGCGCAGGAGAAACCCCAGGCAGCCTGTGCCAGAGGCCAACACTGAGTCTAGACAGGCACAAGGTGACCTATCCTTGAATCCAGGCCTTGATGGCATCAGGGTGGGTCTTGCCGACTGGACGCCGACTTCCCTTGCAAGCACAGGAAGCACACAGTTGTTAGATGAATATCATTTGTTGCAGTTAGGGCCTATTTTATTGTCACATGGTATGTTCTAGAATATTCTGCCCTCTTTGTTTCCCGTCACTTGTTCACATCCAATGAGCTAAACCCGACCGAGTTTAGTTTATTAGGATAACCAAATCAAAGGGTATAAAATGTCAACACCAGATAATAACCCTGCAACTATTCTCATCTGGGATAAATGTATAAACATCTTTACAGATTGTCCTTATCTGTGGCCATGCTGGAAAGCTACAAAAGCAAAACTGCCTCTAGTGTGCTCTCGATGGACGCGACTTCAACCCCCGTGCTTATTAGCGATTCACAAAGGTTTTTAATGATTACCAGGTTTCGATTAGTCACTGGCCTCCAAGCAGCGGGTCTTACGTGTGATCATAAGCCTCCTCACACGTTTGCACTCTGCTCTGACTGAAACTCAGCACTCAATCTGGGTGAGATAATCAAAGTGACCTAGGCATCCCAGGGGCCCACAAAGGGCGCCGCCTGACAGAGACTCCTCAGCTTTAGCGCAGCCCTCATCCTCCTGACAGAGAAATTAAAACCAGGGCAGCAAGAGACCAAAGAACAGGGGTGGGAATGGAAGAAAAGGAAAGAAAGAAAAAAGGGAGGAAGGGAAAGGGAGAGAAGCAAAGTAACTGAAAAATTCAGCAGATTCTTTTAAAAATAAAATGGCTGGGCAGTGGTGGTGCACATCTTTAATCCCAGCACTTGGGAGGCAGAAGCAGGTGGATCTCTGAGTTTGAGGCCAGCCTGGTCTACAGAGTGAGTGCCAGGATAGCCTGAGGTACACTCAAAAACAAAAAATAAAGATAGAGTTGATAAAGATGATAGATAGATAGATAGATAGATAGATAGGTAGATAGACAGACAGACAGACAAGCTATATAGGGAGCTGGAGAGACGGCTTCATGGCTTAAGAACACGTGATTATCCTGCAGAGAATCCAAGTTTGATTTCTAGCACCCCACATCAGGAGGCTCACAACCACCTGTAACTGAGCTCTGGGGGAATCCAGTGCCCTCTCCCTGACTCTGCAGGAACTGCACTCACATATGCTCATCACCACATACATAAACAGTATTTTCAAATAAATATTTAAAGTCAAATATGGAAGTGAAACTATTCTCGTCTTCTTCTCAAACCACCACCATAAAAGGCTGAAATGTGAAACTATTTAAACAACTTTCCCTTCTAGTATGTACACACACACACACACACACACACACACACACACAAACGTGCATAGAAGTAGGTGTTTATTTTCATTAAAGTTCTGGCTTTAGGGAAATCTACATTAGCAGAGTGTAGGCCTGACATACGGGGTGGAGAGATAAGAGAGGGCAGAGACACAGGACGATTCTGTATGTCTATATTGTGTGTGTGTGTGTGTGTGTGTGTGTGTGTGTATAAATACACAAGAGAGAGGACAGGAATTACAGGAACGGAGCAGGCTTTGCTCTGGGTCTCCAGCCCCTAGGAGGTGACTGGGACACAGGCTCCACTCTCCTGACAAACCCTCATAACTAGTTTCCCGAGAGCCAGAAGAGTCGGGTCAGCTGTTGGCCCTTCTCTGAGATTCTAATTAGGGAGGTGGGCACAAGTCACACCGAGGGTCCTGAGGTCACTAGGCACATGGTCCTGCTGACAATGGTAAAATACACTAAAGCTACCTTTTGAGTAAGAAACTTGAAATAAAGACAACAGGAATGGAAAAAAAAAACTCACCTCATGGAAATCTCACAAATATTCCAAAATGCAATGGAATGAAAGGAGGTCAGCGGACTTAGGGGAATATGCATAATTCCCCAAATATGGACTGGGGGGCATGTGTGCGCCCATAGTAGAGTAGAGACCACAGGGCAACTTGGGTATCCTCCTCAATCACTTTCCACCTTAATTTTTTTTTTGCTATATTCATGTGGGGGGTGCACCCCCATATACACAAACACACCACAGCACCGAGGGTGATGGAGGAGGGTCATCTGTCTATGTGTTGCTTTCATTGGTTAATAAAGAAACTGCCTTGGCCCTTTGATAGGACAGAAAACTAGGTAGGCAGAGTAAACAGAACAGAATGCTGGGAAGACGGCAATGAGGCAGACACTATAGCTCTCCTCTCCAAGATGGACGCAGGTTAAGATCCTTCCTGGTAAACCACCACCTTGTGGTGCTACACAGATTATTAGAAATGGGTTAATCAAGATGTGAGATTTAGCCAATAAGAGGCTGGAACTAATGGGCCAGGCAGTATTTAAAAGAATACAGTTTCCGTGTATTATTTTGGGTAAAGCTAGGCAGTGGCCGGTGGCCAGGAGCTGGGAGGCAGAAACGGCCTGCAGCTCCTCACTACACGAGGGTGTAGAGGTCATATGACAGACAACCTGCAGTGCTCTCCTTTCCCCAAGTGGATCCTAGGGATAGAACTCAGATATGGTGGCAAACACCTTTACCTGCCAAGACATCTTGCCAGCCCTCCGCCTTGATTTTTGAGATGGTTTCTCTCGCTGAACCTGGAGCTCACTGCGTCAACCAGGCTGGCTGACCAACTGACCCCAGGGAGCTATCTGTCCCAGCCTACCCAGCTCTGCAGTTTCACGTGGGATTGAGCTCGAGGTCTCATGCCGACCAGACAGGCACTTTACCAAATGAGCCATCTCCACAGCCCAGACTGTATTTCTACAGTACAAAAAATAAGGAGAACCTATGTCTGTCCAACACACACACATTCTGCTATCTGCTCACGATTAATCAAAAAGACAAAATAATATCTAACCCTATACCCACACTTCATCTGGATTGTGAACTGCTGTTCTTCTGCGATAAAAAGACCTTTACATTTCAAACACGACTAAAGGGGCTGGGGAGACTGGTGGGTATAGCGCTTGCACTGTAAGCTGAAGAGCCAGAATTCCAGGTCCAGAATCCACACACGGTCGAGCACCTGCTACATGAAATGCAGGGCAGAGTCCCCAGGAACCCACAGGTCGGCCAGCCTCACAGCAACGAAGAGATCCCAGATCAAACAAGGAAGACATTGAGTGGCACTGGAGGTTATCCTAACTTGCACATGCACACACACTCTTACACATACACACATTCTTCTGCATGCATGCATGTGTGCACACGCGTGCACACACACACAGAGACACTCACACATACGCACACAGAAATTAAAAACTAAAAACTTGTTAAATTTGTCCTCGTCTGCTTTTCGCACTCTGGCCCGAAAAGCACGGGGAGGAGAACACAGGCTCTCCTGTGTGTCTGAGCACCCTGACTCCTTGGCCAAATGCACCCAGGTGGCTCCGCCTGGGGAGAAGGCTGCTACAATTAGAACTCAAGAAGGCAAATTGAAGCAATACAAGATGAAGACTGGAAATGAAGAAAGCTCTAACGAGAGTGACTCCAGCGTCGTCACGGTCAGGGAGGTGTGTGTGTGTGCGCGCGCGCGTGTGCGTGTGTGTGGACAAGCGCTCACTATGTAGCCCTGGTTAGCCTAGAACTCACTATGGAGACCAGGCTGATCTCTAACTCACAGAGACCCTTCTGCGTCTGCTTCCTGGGTACTGGCATTAAAGCATAAGCCGTCATTCCCAGCCCAGGGCCTTCTCTCCACTGCTCTGTATCTACGGAGCAGATGTGATAAATCATCATCTACCTTTTCCCACGGGCTTTTCTCACTGCAGACACATATTGCCAACTCTAATTATTTCTCTGGTGCTTTTCAATCCACGGTTGCCATTCTCAACCCAGGGTGCTCTTCTCCCTCCACCCTAAGGTACTCTGGGAGTGCCGGAGACACTTGGGGCTGTCATAACTGAGCAGAGGGTGGTAGTTGGATCTCGTGGGTAGACAGCAAAGATCTAGTTAAATATCCAGTGCACAGCACAACTCCCCAAACCCAAAAGGCAATGGTGAGAGGTGACACTGACAGACTAGAAACCTATACTGTAGCTCTTTTCAAAGCACATTAGTTTATTAATGTCGCTAATACAGTTGGTGAGTTTCTGAACCCCACAAAAGTTTTATGCTATTTAATTTATATCCTGTATATTACTCCATTAAATTCAATGTCTGAGCTTTCATATCTGTTTCTGTGTTATACATGACTTTGGGTGGGAAGGAAAAAACTCAGTGACTCATCCCATGCAAAGAGAATTCTCTATAGCTGAGCTAGACCCTCAGCACCCATTCGTTTTTATTTTGTATTTATTTTCTTTTAAGGGTGGGTGGTTTACAAGACAGGATTTCTCTGTGTTGCTATGGCTGCCCTGAAACTCACTCTGTAGACCAGGCTGGCTTCAGATTCAGAGATCCACCTGCCTCTGCCTCCCAAAGGCTGGGAATAAAGGCGTACGACAAAGCCGGGCGGTGGTGGTGCACGCCTTTAATCCCAGCACTTGGGAGGCAGAGGCAGGCGGATCTCTGTGAGTTCGAGACCAGCCTGGTCTACAAGAGCTAGTTCCAGGACAGGCTCCAAAACCACAGAGAAACCCTGTCTCGAAAAACCAAAAAAAAATAAAAAAAATAAAGGCGTGTGACACCACCATCTGGCTAATTCTTTTTAAGTATTATATACGGATCTTTTAATAAACATAGAAAATAAAATGCTTCCTGAGGTTTTTTCCAAAAATTCTTAATGCCCTTTATTTTGGAGTTTAAAATATAAAATGATCTGATTCTATAATTCTTTTAAATTTTTCTATAAATTATATAAATTTATATATATAAAGTTAGATATATAATTCTATTTTTATTTTTCTATGATTTTTATTAATTTATTTTGTGTGTGTGTGTGTGTGTGTGCGCGCGCACGCCATTACGCACATGTGGAGGTCAGAGGACAATCTTGCGAGTGAGCTGAGTGTTCTTCCTTCTTCCATGTGTGCCCAAGGATCAAGCTCAGTTCATCAGCTGACAGTGTGTGCCTTAACATACTGAACCATCTCACCAGCCCCTGATTACGCAACTCTTAATATGATGATTAAATGAGTAAATTATAAGAATATCGCCTGTGGGGCTGGAGAGATGGCTCCACTGTTAGCATTTGCTGCTCTTCTGGAGGACCCAAGTTTGACCCCTCCCTCCCCCGCACCTATACCAGGCAGCTCAGCACGCCCAGTAACTTCAGCTTCGGGTACTCTGTCGCCCTCTTCGGATACACACATGTGACATGCATTCACAATGACACAGACACACAAACAAAAATAATAATAAATCTTTTTGTAAAGGGGAGAAAGTAGTGCTGGAGCTGAGTTGGGACTGCTCCGGGATCCTGTTCCTCTTACAGCCTAAATGCCAAGTAAGTTGCCTCAAGAAGTTCTCAGGGCTGCAGAGCACACAGGCCAGATTCCAAAGTGCACAGAACTAACACAGCTCTAAGCCTTTTCCTAATATCAACCTAATAATATCCACCTTTCCCAGAGGAATCTGGGGATGAAAAAGTAATTTTACATATTGTCCTTCATATAAAGGACTTAAGGCTCAGACCTGGGAGACATTCTGAGGAGTGCTTTCTCCAGGCTCCGACTTTAGCATTTTAAGTAGAATCTGTGTCTTCGACAGAAAGGATGAATGGCCCAGCTCCCCAGGATTTGCCCGAGTCACCAAGTGGTTCAGTGGTGAAATCAGGCTAACCGCTTAAGGCGACGCTTCCCTCAGAAGGACCCTTTCTCCAGCCGACCTTGGAATTCACGTGTTAGTCAACTGGATTAGAGGATTTTACATCCTCCTTTGTAACTTTATCACCTTCCTTCAGAGTAGGCTCCGCGTGGATCTGCTCCTCTCCTGGCTTCCTAATCAGCGTGTGGAACACAATTTAATTTTTACCAAAAGTCCAAGACTTGAAAATGTCATTTTGAACATCAGTTCTTGACACTACAGGGTGTTTAATTCAAATTCTCTAGTGACTAATTTTAATTTTTCTGCACGTGGAGAGCATTTAAGAAAAAGAAGGTCATGTATCATCAACATATTTTAAAGTAAACCAAAGTGATGTAACAGAAAACAGTCTCTGTAAGAGGTAAGGGGAAATAAAATTAACATTTTCCTTTTTTTTTGTGAAAATGTAACAATACTCATATAGACAGTTGGCAAGGTATGAGCAGGTACCTTGGGCATCGCTGTCTGGGAACCATCTCTGCACCCTGACCCCTGCCCCCACTCCCTACAAGAGTCAAACATTGACAGATGAGGTCCCAAAATGCTGTCCATCACTGTACCCTAACATCTGCCAGGTTCTCGAGTGCCACAGAGTGCTCTTCAGTGCGACCCCAGAGCTAGCTCCTGCCATTTTCTACTCACCTTATTTGAATTCATTTTAGCAGCTGATCCAAAATCCACCAGCTTGATGTGTCCCGTGCGGTCAATGAGGATGTTCTCAGGTTTGATGTCTCTGTAAGAAAGTCAAGGCCTTAATTAGCGCTGTCTTTGTGTCAACCAACAAGCAGTTACCAACCTCAGGCCGCACTTCAGCCAAAAACCTTAATTTATGTGTTATGCTATGCAGACCTTCCCTACTGGTAGATAGGAATGATTAGCACCCATCTTGAAAGATAAATTTAATTTTCTTAAAAGGGATGGAGAAAAAGCAAACATGAAGCTTGAGATGGGTTATTTCTACTAGAGGCTCACATTTTTATATTTCAAAAACAAAGACCAAAAAACCTAAAGACCTAACCCAAGGTCCTATGGTATCCCAAATTCTGCATCCCCACAATTGTATATCTATGATCTGTATCTGCTATCTCTACTCCATTCTGAGGTGAAGTAAGGATGTGGAGAGACTCCTGAGGACAGAGACTTCTGTAGGACATCTTTGCAACTTACTAATGCTGACGGTAAAAAGCGTGCAACCTCAGCGTGACACGGCAGAGAGACAGTGGAACCTGAAGGAGGCGGAACCCAGTGGGTACCATCAGGTCACGTCTCATCAACAAGAACGCAACTCAGCCCCACCTCCCAGTTACCAGACCCCCCATAAAACACCATCAAAGTATGACTCCCTCAATATATTGATCCATTAGTGAAAGAGAAGAGTCCACAAGACCAGATCACTTCAAGCAACCAAGACACAAGAGCCGTGAAGGTAAAGTTTCAAATTAAATCCATCTGAATTACAGGTGTGCACCACCGCCGCCTGGCTTTGATGAACAGCTTTTGTTAATTACCGTTTTTTGTTCCCAGGATATGTGCCAGTTCCTCTACCAGTCAGAAAAAAAACCAAAGGGGGTTTTTGCTATAAACCCCCAAAAAAGGAGTTTTTAATGCTACTGACTACATCTGACAGCCACATCTTACTAGCAAAGCAGGCACATTGCAGGCCTAGCTCTGTTCCATGGCTGAATGGACGTGCTAAGACGCCAGACATTTTAGAAAGCTTTTAGCCAATCACAGGCCAGGCTGGCTAAATGACGATTTCTTCTGACCCCATAGGGACTGGTGTGTGACTCAGAAAAGTTCTCAGTATGCTCCTAGGGGTCCCACTTACCGATGCACATATCCCATCTGATGCAGGCTGTGAACAGCCAAAATCAGCTCAGCAAGGTAAAACTGAATCATATTTTCATCTAATTGGTCCTCATATCTATTCAGAAGTGACAATAAATCCCCTCCAGGCTGATATTCCATGACCTGCAGAGAATGGCAAAGTTATTCATTTTTCACACACTCCACATAGGGAACACCTCAACTGAACCCTCCAACAACACCTAACAATGATGTAACCATGAAGACTCTGGAAAGCGAAGGGGATGTGTGGCTCGTACCCTAAGACGTAGGGTAAGGTCTTTGGCATATGTGACCCAGGAGAATGGAAAGGATGCAAGAACAGCCAGACACCGTGTGTGATGCTTGCAAGGCAAGCCTGAGAAGTTGAATAAATCCACCTCCTCCCACGCCCGCCCACGCTGACACCCCAGACATTCCCTAGGATCAGGTACCGCGCGCACACACGGATATTCCTGGAGGGCAGCAAACGTGCTAACATTCATTTTGCATTCCCCTCAGCACATGGCAGAGTATAGGAGCCGCGGAGCAAAGGCAATACAATCCTTCTTCCCCTTTACAGTCAGTGTGGAAGGCAGCTGATGATCTCTATTAAAAATTTAACAATGAATAGATACCCCTTGACCTAGCTATTCCGCTCTGAACAATTTACTTTATTGGTACTTACAATTCATAGATAAAAGATAGATAAGTAAATAGGTTCTCTACTGGGTAGTTTATAACAAGGGAAATATACTTGAAAACCATTCAAATGCCCATCCATAAGAGGCCAATTAAATTATGATACCTCTAAATTCTGGGCTATGACTTGGATACTAAAAACACACGATTCCAGTTATTCATGCCAGGGGAAAGCTGTCCATACCACAGAAAGCGACATTCTGTACAGGAAAGAGAATAACCCACCTCTTCAATCAGAAAGAATATATTTTTGATGTATATAAAAACAAATCAGAATATATAGCTAAAATGCTTGATTAGAAAGGAGGTCAGCAAGGGTGGCACAAGCCTTTAATCCTGGCACTCAGGAGGTAGAAGCAAATGGATCTCTGTGTTCAAGGCCAGCCTACAGAGCAAGTTCCAGGACAGCCAGGGCTGTACAGGGACATCCTGTCTCAAAAAAAAATTTTAAAAATGAAAGAAAAATTCCACCCCAGGGAAGTGAAAATCATCAATGCACATTTTACCCACTTTGCTAAGTCCCCAATCCCCTTCATCTTATGATAACCAGATGTAAAAATTCCTGAGTCATGGGCTGGAGAGATGGCTCAGAGGTTAAGAGCACTGATTGCTCTTCCAGAGGTCCTGAGTTCAATTCCCAGCAGCCACATGGTGGCTCACAACCATCTGTAATGAGATCTGGTGCCCTCTTGGCCTGTAGGCATACACGCAGGCAGAACACTGTATACAAAATAAATAAATAAATCTAAAAAAAAGAAAAAAATGACCTGAAGGCCAGTCACCTTGGTCTGACTCACCTGGTGACTTCACTTCTCAACCTTTTCTGGTCTTCCCTGAACACCCCAGATAAGACTAATCCCTTTGCAACACTGCCTGAGGAAAGCATCTGGCTCGGTGCCTGGAGCCAACTTGAGATCCATTCTTCCCTCCCCTCTCTGTGTGGTTCTTTCTGGCTGGTGAGAAGCTAGGACCACTTGACTGCAACTGTTCTCCTAGCGGTTCCCCTGCCCTTTGATCTATTGCCCATCTTGTTGACCAGTGCCAGCTTGTGTCCAATTCTTTCCAGAAAGGATGTTTTTCAAATGCATTCTGTCAAAAAATACTAAATCCTCGGTGATGGTTCATCTTAACTGTCAACTTGACTGCACTTAGGATCACCATGGAAACACACCTGGGGGGCGGGTGGAGGGGTTGTGAGGGAGTTTCCAGAAAGGTTTAACTGAAGAGGGAAGAGCCATCTTGAATGTGGGCAGCACCACCCCATGGACTGGAGTCCTGGACTGCAGAAAATGAGAACGCACTGAGCACCTGGGTTCATCTCTCCATTCCTGGCCGAAGATAAGAATATGAGGCCCCCACCCCTCCCCTGCCCTGCCTTCCCCACCATGACGGACAGTAAAGCTGAAATAAAGCCTTTCTTCCTCCAGTTACTTTTTGCCAAGTATCTAGTCACAGCAATGAAAGAAGCAATAGACCTACCACACACTGGATCCTAGTTCTGGGATGTAAACTGTTACCCTCCCCAAATGCTGTTTGTCGTTCCTGTAGTCTTAGAAAACAGCTGTAGGCAGGTGTGATGGCTAGCCATGGGAAGAGGGACCCTCAGTTGAGGGATTACCCCATCACACCTCCATCACGTCTCACCCATGGCTGGGGGGTATGTCAGTGGGGCATTTTCTTGATTCGCAGCTACTGTGGGAGGAACCATCCCTAAGCAAGCAGGCCTGGGTTGTAGAAGGAAGGCAGCTGGATGTCAGCCTGAGAGCAGCATCATTGCTGCTTCAGCTCCCCTCAGTGGTGGACTCTGACCTGGAAGCAATGGATGAGATAAATCTTTTCCTCCCCCAGGTGCTTTTGGTTTGTGGTGTTTCTCACAGCAACTGAGCACTAACTAGAACAAGTCAGATGGAGAGCCTCTGCACAGGTCCCCAGAGGCCCCAGGCTGGTCCTCCTAAAAACTACAGGAAGTCCACCCAGCATCAGGCTCTGGGGAAGGGACTTGCACATCCTCTCATAGCCCTGAGACCGAGCTGTTCACATGGTTTCTTATGCTTTGCACACAGGGGACAACCGCTCTGGGAGAGCAAGATGCCATTCTGTACCACAGTTGCTCAAAGCAAACTGATTCACCAACACATACAACACCTAGACGGGGTAAAACTCATTCCTCCAAATTCACAGCTGCTGACGATGACGTCAGCTACTCACCTCAGCCTTAGAGGAGCCCATAGCAGCCACCTGGCTTGCTAGAGCTCACCCACTCATCCCAACCTGGTTCTCTACAGGCCTGGGGATGTGGGTGAATGCTAATTGTAAGTCTGCTTTAAATATATATTGCCATTAAAAGGGTCTTAAACAACAAGAGGAAACGCACAGATAATAGCAGGCGCGCTCATACTTCCAGAACGCAGATGGTTTAAAATAAGAAGAATGCATATTTATGATGACACACCGCTGTTACAGACTTCTTCGGGCTCTGTTATGTGAGAGCCAGAATGGCTTCTAAGTTTAAGGCAGAGAAAGTCAAAACTACAGCAACTGTTGGCAACTTTGGTGAGCTCACTTGTCAACTCTACTTAGTATTTAGCGTCACCTCCTGAAGACTCTATTCGGTAGGGACCAGCAGAGAGTTTCAGAAAATCAGCATTTCTTGCAAAGGGAGCAAGATGCACGTTCCTCACTCCTCTGTGCAAGATGTCCACCCAAACTAGATGCGTCTTTTCTGAGAATCAAGCGACCTCTCATGTCTTCAGAAGCCAGGACTGACTGAGAAAACAAGCCACAAAAATTACAACAGCTGCTAGCCTGTACGCTCTTCAGCTCAGGGCCAAAATAGACACCCTAAATGTCAGCATCTGAATAGGACAGAGCTTTATCAGGGAGTCTAATCAAACCCGGGAACCAGCACGCTCCCAGTGAACATACCAACATCTCCAGCTGCACAACACAGACCTGCTCTGGGCACTCAGTCACCTTGAGGAGCCCGAGACCTTCTCCACAGTCCGTACCTACACTGTGGAGTACAGGTCTCATGTGGACTACACGGAGCCCACGGGGGAGGCAGTTTATGGGGGTGCAACCTAAGTTTAATCGGTTCACCATGCTGTTGAACTTAAAGAGATGATTAAAAAAAAACGGGATTTGGGGTCTTTCAGAAACACCTGGGGACTGTGAAAGATGGTGCCAGGCCAAGACGCTATCAAAGTCCTCATCAAGACTGGCTGTGACCCAGAGACAAGGACAAGAGAACACTACAAACTAATGAAGAACAAGGTCACCACCGGTGTTGTTCCGGAATCCACAAGTTGCCCCTGCGTCTCTGTCCCCCAACCCTGCTCCTCAGAGAGAGCTGGTGATGCTCAGATCTGCCCATCACTCCCAAAATGCAGCAGCTAGCCCAGGAAGGCTATAAACCCTCTATGGAGGGTTTTCCTAGTCTGCTTGCCCACCGGGGTCACTAGGAGGAACACTTTGTAAAAATGTGACAGACAGATGGCTCAGCAGGTAAAAACATGTGCCACCACGCTTGACAACCTGAGTTTGATTCCTGAGACAACGCGGTAGAGAGAACGGATGCCTCCAAGTTGTCCTTTGACCTCCATATGGGTATGTGTCATAGTATGCACACACATACAAAATGTTTTTATAAGACACATTCATCCATTATATTTGAAAGCTTACTATGTGCTAGTGCTCTAAATATCAGGGATGAAAAGGACTAAAAATAAAAAATCCCTGTGTCTTCATAGAGATGGCATTCAAGTGAAATGAAAAATAATTAAATAATTATTATAATGGTAATAAGAAAAATCAGGGTAAAAAAATTATTTTCTCCCTTTCATTCCAACCACTCAGGAAGTTTGCTAAAATATAAATTCCAGAGACTAACTTTAGGTATGAGTGCTCAAGCCCCACGGATCTGCGTTGTTCTGAGACAGTGTGCCACTCTTAACCTCAAACCTGCAATCCTCCTGCCTCGGAGTACATGTAAAGGTCAGAGGATAGCACTGTAGTCGGTCCGAAGAGGACCCCAAATTTACATGGTTTCCAGGGATCAAAATCAAGTCATCAGGTTTGCAGGGCGAATGTCCTCTCTCAGGCTGAGCCACCTCTCCGGCTGAGGGCGTGCACCTTTAGGGAGAGGTTCTGATGCTGTTCACCCAGCACTGCACTGGGTCCGTTACTGAGATGCTGCACAACCAATTCAGTTTCCTAATGCAGCCATACACAAAGTTTCTGCAGCATCGTGCCCTTGGATGGACCTTGGCTTTAATGCAGCCATCACTTCCGCTTACATTTTCTACACTGACGACACGAAGGCCTTCTGAGTATCAAAACAAGATCACAGACAATAAAGGACTGGAAAACAGCCAGACCACTGGCATTGAAATAACGATCTTCTACCCTTGCATGGACCAGAGACATCTCCTACACAGAGAATAGGC